ATATATGTATATGTATATATATATAAAATATATATATAATGTATATATATATGAAGAAGAAAACAAAAATCACACTTTTTTTTCAGCATTTTAAAACCTTACATTTTACAATGAGCAGTTGCTATTATAATCAGAAAATAATTTAAACAATTTCTTATAAAATATAACAAAATGGCTCCTATTCCTCTCCTTCCCTTTTTATTTACCTGAAAAACCCTTACCAAGGTGGTATTTGGATGACCAAAAGAAAGTGGTCATTCAAGAAACAGTCTGAGACTCTGAAACAGGGTATACAGAAACAGCTTCTTCTTCACGATTTTGACTAAGCAAACTGGGATTTATCATTAGAAACCTCTAGTGTAGCATATCCTGTATGTTCTATCTCAGCTCTCTCTAAGTAGCTTTTACTAAGAAACCAGAACAACTTCCTAGGGTGTCAGGGTGCCCACTGGAAAATACCCAATGGTCTTCTGGGAGATGGAAACTATATTTTTCATGTTGGAGAAAGTCCTCGCTGAAACAAGAAGGGAAAGGGTATGCAGTTAACTAACTAGAAATGAAATTAGAAGAAAGATGACCAAAAAGTGACTGCATGGAGATGGGACTCACGCACATTTACAAATACATACACAAACATGTGTGCACATCCTCCTATTTATTGCTGTCAAAAGCAAAATGTGGATATATGAGCACTGCACCCTGCCAGACCTTGGTCTTTATACTCACACTATCTAGTGACCCACATCCTGATCAAAATTAGATTGTTTCCACAGTTTTAGAAGCATCCCAACATCACCCAAACATGCGCTTTGTTTAAGAAAGGTCATATTTGGAAATATTCAAATCTAACCATGCAATTTGGCAGCAGACATTGTTCTACATTCAAGAGAGATGCCCTAGAAAATGAAAAGCAATGAATCATTAGATTAATTTCATCTATTTCTAAATTCCAAGGCTTCTATCTCATTTCTATAGTGCAATTTGATAGAGAGGGACCTGCCATCATTCACTAAGGAAAAGACACATTTATTTACTGGTCATCCATGTGAGGGAGAGCAAGTGGATAAAGATGACAGTCAAATTTCTTGGCTGAGTGGGCTGCTGTCAGAGTCAATTCCTCTGAGTGTCTGTAAAACACCTTTTAGACAGCACCACAGTTCAGTGGTCAAATGCAGATTTTATCATACCTTCATCCATTTCGATTGTGTGATTTCTTATTAAAACAATAAATAAAAGCACTGTTCCTAGAAAGTCCACTATTTTGTTCAAAATATAAAAATTATACTTATCTTCATTACAGCATTTCCCCAAATACTCACTTTAATTTACATCTAGTAATTCAATACAGATATATAAACACCTCATACATGTTGTATGCTCATGTACATATAACAGGCATACACATGACAACTGTGACAGTATTTTTTCAGAATAAGTATGTTTATCTAAAAGGGTTACATAAATAGTCACACAAATAGAAAGCCTAAATTATGAATTTTTCAAATGCAATTCTGACTTTTAACACCATCATGAGAATTTGTCTTAGTCCTAATAAGCACTCTGAATTGTACTCTGCCTTTTGTGACTTTTCTTCAGAAATGTGAAAACGAAAAGGAGAAAGTCCTTTCATATGGTGTAACATTTGTATTCTTGTCTTCTACAGTTCTTCCAAGCTGTGACTTCCTTGAGCACATATCATACTTCACATGCCCAATGCCCCTAGCCCAATAATCGGCACACAGCAGAATTTTACTAAGTTTGCTGAATTAATGAAAATGTGGCTTTTCTTGAAGGACAATTATCCATTACATTAAAACCAAGAATATAATATAAGGCAATAGGATTGACTGTCTACTATTAGAAATGCTGCCTTAGAAAATGGCCAAACAAACAAACACTTTCTAAATGTTCACTCATGCATTTAGCAAACGTTTATCGAGTCCCTACCCTATCCTGTGAGATATATCCTGTTGGTATTGAAAAGTTAAAAAGGCACAAATAATGACAGCAAATGGTATAAAATGATAAATGTTTTAAGAAAAGAATGAACAAAGTATTACCAGTCTTTAGCAGTCCTCATTCTTCGACCACATCTAATCTTATGATAAGGCAGTCTGAGACCTTGTATTTGGGATTAGCCACAAAAAGGCTAAAGTTTCATTCCCTATGTCATCTGAATCCCTAGGCACAGAAAAGCCTTGGTTATCCCACAAGCAAAACTTTCACTCTTGGAAGTCGGAAAAACTGTGTATGATAAATCCACTCATCATATAATCTATATATCCAAGACCTTTTCCTTCTCCAAATCATTAAATCTCCATATGTGCTGGGATTTCTTTTGGAAGATGGTTTGAGGTTTATTTTATTTTTTTGGTAGAACTGACTAGATTATTCCCAGTAGGGAGTGAAGGTAAAAATGAAAGAATAATTATATTTGCTGTGGGGAAGGCAGTGATGTGTTATTGCTATATTTCAGCTCATCTATCTATTTGGTAACTTCTTCCACTTCTTCCCTTGTATCACTATGCCCACACCCGTATCTGTTATAATTTGAACAGCATAAATCTAGGTGGACACATAGCTAGTGAACAGCTTGCACATGTTCCATAACTTCTCTGATCATCTATGTCCTCTTCTGTAAAATGGCTTAAATATGCTTAGCTGTCAACATCTTAGAGTGCCTGGAAAACCCTTAGAAAATGATGGCTGGTGGTAGTGATGGCGGTGGTCTGATCACATTAACAATGATTCCGTGCAAACTCTTGTCCTAGGTGCTGATTAAAACACATACACAGATGTCCCTGTCTCTGTTTCTCGTACTATAAAATGTGACTACCTACAGGGCTGTTTTAAGAATTCAATGAGATAAAGCGTGCTAAATATCTACTTATCCCCTTTTATAAATGATTGCTTGGTATTTCTCTTTGATTTTTCAATTTTCCCATTCCAATCTGCCTCTACCTAAACTGTTGTGGTTGCTGGATTATGCAGATGATGGTAACCACAAATCACCTGAGAGGCAGTACATTAAGGGACTCACCCTACAGATGAAACAAACGCCATTTTTAACAAGTAACACTATCTTCAATATTCATACTATCCTCCCAATGACAAAGTAAGTTAAGTAATACTGAAAATAGTTACTAACCTTAGAAGACCCCTTAAGGACATTAGAACTTTCACAATACCCCCAAACGAAAAGAGAAAAAATAGTAACAGAACGAACAATAAACAGTAAGTTGAAGCACAATAGTCTAGAACTATTATGATATCTGGAACAGTTTACCCTTAGAAGAGACGCACCTAAGAAAATGAAGACATGTTTAGCTCCATGGTTCTAATACAGCCCTTTATACACTTCTGGTGAATATTTTTCTTGAGTAAATAAAATTGCTTGTACTTTTCAATTTTAAATTATGAAAAAGAAAATGTAGTTATAGTAGGAGAGCAATGACTCATTCCAGAATATCTATTTACAGTCCTTAGAGTCACCAATTCTGAAACCACATACTACCACTGGCCCCCAGAAATTAAACCAGTAAATATTAAGGTGAGACCCGTAACACTGCTGTAAAACAAGACCACTATATTTATACAAGGCTGTACAGTAAAGTGTGAACATTCAACTGCTCTGAATTTGGACAAAGAAATTATAAAGTTAGTAAGAAAAAAATTCCCTTTTATAAGTAAATGTTATTTATTTTTTTCCCTTGGCTGCCAGATATGTGGATGTGACATTGAAGAAAATTTTAAACATTTTAATTACGACTTTATATTCTAAATCATGTTTAGTGTTACTCAAAACACTACAGTTACTAACTTAAATTATCTTTTCTGTTTTTCAAGTTATTCCATTCAGGATCTGGGAGCACTATCCTTTCTGATTTTTTTTCTTGGTAATGTCCAAAAATTATACAAAACAACAGTCAAGCCACACTCAACTTTCCAAGGTCTGACTTTCATTGTTAGGAATTAACTATGGTGCAAATTTTGTTAAAGAGGTGTTGCTGTAGGTTGTATTTTCTGTTGTGACTAGCACCAAAGTGTGTGCAAAAATAAATGCACACTGCTCTGGCTTCACAGGCCTATAATGTGCATTCCGGTGGGGAACACCTCATGAAAATTCATCCTCAGACTGTCCCAAGGCTACTGTAGACATTTTACAATTCACGTAATAGTCATTTCAGACAGCCCACTTGAAGATTAGTTTCAAGGGACCAAAGTACAACTCTCATTACCATCACATTCTCTCTAAAATCAACACCTCAAACAAGTAAAGTGAATGGGAAAAAAACAAATCCAAGGATAATTTACCAATCACACCTCTTCCCTAAATCAGTTAAAAGTCTGTCATAAAGGATGTTTAAATTAAAACAACATAGATGAAAACAGATGGTGCTTTGTCACTTTTCTTATCTGATTTAAAGGTACAGTTGAGATAGGACCTGCCATTTAAGATTCCTCTTATACTATAATATAAACAACAGGGCCAACCTTTCCTTCTTCTTTCCTTCCCTCTTTTCCTTCCTCCCTTCCTACATCTTTTACTCTCTCCCTCCCTCCCTCCTTCCTTCCTATCCATCTACTAGTCTGACAGGTAAAATCTTAACTTTCCTCAATGCTGACTCTAAGTGTAGTCGATCTATAGCATGAACCAGCAGGTAAGTAAACAGTCTGTGCAGCGGAGTGGAATTAAGCATCCAGTCACCGATAGAAAGCCAATACTATACAAATGGGACCACACGGTATTGGCAGCCATCAACATTTGCATGCAACTCCTTAACTATTATTACTCATGAATCTCTCCAGATACAGTTTGTAATCTTGTGTCTCAGTGGTGCTCTCTAGTTTGTTTCTGCATTAGGCATAATAAATGCTTTTGAGAAACAGACAGTAAAAGATTAATACACTCATAACCATCAGAGAGAAACTTTTACTGATTTCAAATAGCTGCCCTCCCTTCAACTAACCCACCCCAATGCCATCCAATTAATACTTACTCACGAAGGCTTCCTCATCTGTTGGCAAACGTAATGACATGCAGATATACGTATCAGACTATTAAAGAGAGAAAGAGACAAAACTTAAATTAAACTGCTGTTAATAAAAAAAAGATAGTAAGTATTAAAAACACAATCTCCATCACTGAAAAAGAACTACTGGTCCAGTGTCCTGAGTGGTCACTTAATGGAAGGCCTAAGCCTAGAACTCAGGTACCCTAAAATTTTTTTAAAGACTCTTTCCTAAATGACTTCAGATCCTATTTATAAACCAATTATCATGAGTAATATTTCTTACACTGTCACAATTAAAAGATAACATTACAGATATTTATATAAAACTGGGTGGAAAAGTTTAATGTACGTGATTTTAAAATGATAGGAGTCCATTTTAAATGTTCATCTTTGCTTTTGGCAGTTACATATTTAATTTCCTGAATCACTTTACAACTGCCCAAATATTAATCAGAGAAGAACAATAAATAAAAGTTGGTTAATAAAATATTATATTCGGTTGTTCTCCTCTTACTTTAAAATTCTTTACGTAGTACATTGAAGAAATCAACATTAATTCATTTATTCTTTCTTTTCTAGTTATTGGTCTCTTACCTAAACGGCAGTTTTTTCACTATCAAATACAGAAACACCAAGAATTTTTAGTGATAAAAACTGCAATTTAAGGAGAATAGGCTTCTGGCAATCTATGTACTCTTCTTCCTGAATGGAAATCCATATGCAGTGAAGTATGCACTATGGTTGATAATATACTCATGATAAATATAGGCTGTACTCATTTAATAATTCATACTTCATGGATTATAACTGCACAGCACTAGAATCGAGTCTCCAACAACACAAACAGAGATCATTTGGGTTTCCTTTAACCTACTGTTTGGCATCTAAAAACTGTGAAATTTGTACCTGTTTTTACTTCTGTGTTGGAAAGCAAGGAGGTTCAAATATACCATTTTTACATTAAATAAGTATCTTAAAATTTGAAAATTACAAGAATGTGATTCAGTCTTAGTTACTAATTTTATATATGTCATTTTTTCCCTCATTTGAGTAGACTGTTTCATTTCTTAAGAGGCTTAATTATTTACTCTTACTTAGCTAATGAGGAAATGTGCTGGGAAATGTTGAGGATTGCACAGTAAGGGAGTTTATGCCACAAAAATGCTGGAGAAATGAACTGCGTATCCAAAACCAAAGAATAAATAGGCAAAATAATGCTTTAAAACTTACAATTATGCACAAGATTGCTTATAAATATTTTTCCAATCTCTGAATTAGTAATGTTACAAAATATACCTACTCTGTTCTAACATAACAAATAATAAGCTCAAGAGTCTTTTCTATTTGATCATCCTGAGCTACTTGTAGTTTAAGACTGAAAGGTATCCAGTGGCTACACAATGGTTAAGTGACTGGCTACTAACTGAAGGTCGAAGGTTCGAACCCACCAGCTACTCTGCAGGAGAAAAGACCTGGCCATCTGCTCCCATAAAGATTTACAGCCTAGGAAACCATATGGGGCAGTTCTACTTTGTCCTACAGGGTTGCTATGAGTCGCAATCAACTCGACGGCACACCACCACCACAACATAGCTGATGCTGCTACTATTACTTATTCCTGGCTAACATTTATTGAATGCTTATTATGTACTAGGTATTGTTCTAAATGTTTGACTAGTATAATCATTTAATAACTAAATAATTCTATATGATAGATATTAACCACAATAATGACAGTAACACTAATAACTAACATTAAAGCTCACTATGTGCCAGCATTGTTCTAAGTACTTTACATATATTAACTCAATTAATTCTCAAAACACATTCCTATGATGTACATATTACTGTTATCCCCATTATACTGATAAGGAAAACCAAGGTTAAGTAAGTTTGCTAAGGTCCCCTAGCTAATAAGTGAAGGAGCTGGGATTTGAACACAGGCAGTCTGACACAGATAATTCGAAGCAATGTGACAATTACTGATGTCAAAGCAAATATAAAAACAAAAGTAAATTTAAGGTAGTTAAGCATATATTTATAACAAGAAAGGATCGAAGGGTCACAATGAAAAGCAAACTAAACAGAAGTTCTTTTTAATTTGGACGAACATTATTTTATTTTACTCTATGTTTGATTTTACTGTAAGCCATTTATTTCAAGTTGTTTTTGAAATAGACAGGTTATAGGCATAAATAGATACATCAAATTCAGCAAGTTGGTTCTCTTGATAATAAAAAGTAATCATGGTGGTGTTTAAATATACAGAATAAAGAAAACTGCTATTTATATTCAGTAATCATCAATCCATACATAATGCTTGCTTTTACCTTGGGCTGCTCAATTTAAAATGACAGAATAACTTGGAAATGCCTTCCTTCCATCAATTTATATATTTTGGCTTATACCTTCTCTAACAATGAGAATGTGTTCCGCTTTCAACTGTTTTTTGCAAAAGAGGCAGAAGACATGAGGAAAATTCTCTGGAGAATAATCAGTATCATGCAATCATTTTGGGAGAGCAAGTCTACATTAGACATTGTATCAATGTTCTACCATACACTATTATACTCTGATTTTGGTTTTTACTTACATCTTATTTTCCATGATAGAGAAAACTTCTGTTAGAAGAAAAAAAGATAAAACTTTTTTTTTTTTTAAGTAAACACATCTAAAAACACTTTGTTGTTATGTCATTAGGTGCCCCCGAGTCAGTTCTGACTCATAGTGACCCTATGTAAAACAAAAGAAAACACTGCCAGCCCAGGGCCATCTTCACTATCATTACTGTTTTGAGCCCACTGTTGCAGCCACTGTGTCAGTCCATCTCACTGAGGGTCTTTTTTTTGCTGACCCTCTGCCAAGCATGATGTTCTTCTCCAGTGACCAATTCCTCCTAATAACCGGTTCCAAAGTAAGTGAAACGAAGTCTCACTATTCTCGTTTCTAAGGAGCACTCTGGCTGTACTTACAAGACAGATGTGTTCGTTCTTCTGGCAGTCCATGGTATATTCAATATTCTTCATCAACACCATAATTCAAATACATCAATTCTTCTTTGGTCTTCCTTATTCATCATCCAGCTTTCACATGAATATGAGGCGACTGAAAATACCATGGCTTGGACCAGGAGTACCTTGGTCTTCAAAGTGACATCTTTGCTTTTTAACATTTTAAAGAGGTCTTTTGCAGCGGATATGCCTAATGTAATATGTCGTTTGGTTTCCTGACTGCTTGCTTCCATGGGCGTTGACTGTAAATCCAAGTGAAATGAAGTCCTCGATAACTTCAATATTCTCTCCACTTATCATGGTGTTGCTTATTGGTCCAGTTGTGAGGATTTTTGTTTTCTTTATATTAAAATGTAATCCATTCTGAAGGCTGCAGTCTTTGATCTTCAACAGTAAGTGCTTCAAGTTCTCTTCACTTTCAGCAGGCAAAGTTGTGTCATCTGCATATCGCAGGTTGTTAATTAATCTTCCTCCAATCCTGATGACGCGTTTTTCTTCATATGGTTCAACTTCTCGGACTACTTACTCAGCATACAGAACAAATAAGTATGGTAAAAGGATACAACCCTGACACACACCTTTCCTGATTTCAAACCATGTAGTATTCCCTTGTTCTGCTGGTACAATTGCCTCTTGGTCTATCTAGAAGTTCCACATGAGCACAATTATGGTTCTGGAATTTCCATTCTTCGCAAGGTTATCTATAATTTGTTATGATCCACACATTGAATGCCTTTGTGTAGTCAATAAAACACAAGTAAACATCTTTCTGGTATTCTCTGCCTTCAGCCAGGATTCATCTGACATCAGCAACGATATCCCTTGTTCCATGTTCTCTTCTGAATTCAGTTTGAACTTCTGGCAGTTCCCTGTCAATGTACTGCTACAGCCACTTTTGAATAATCTTCAGCAAAATTTTACTTGCATGTGATATTAATGATATTGTTGGATAATTTCCACATTCCATTGGATCACCCTTCTTTGGAATGGGCACAAACATGGATCTCTTCCAGACAGTTGGGCAGGTAGCTGTCTTCCAAATTTCTTTCACAGATGAGTGAGCGCTTCAGCGTTTCATCCATTTGTGAAAATATCTTAACTGGTATTTTGTCAAGTCCTGGAGCCTTGTTTTTCACCAATGCCTTCAGTGCCGCTTGGACTTCTTCCTTCAGTATCATCGGTTCTTGATTAAATGCAACCTCCTGAAATGACTGAACATCGACGAATTCTTTTTGGTACACTGACTGTGTATTCCTTCCATTGTCTTTTGATGTTTCCTGCATCATTCAATATTTTGCCCATAAAATCCTTCAATACTGCAACTCAAGGCTTGATTTCTTCTTCAGTTCTTTTAGTTTGTGAAATGCCAAGTATGTTCTCCTCTTTTGGTTTTCTAATTCTAGGTCTTTGCACATTTCATTATAATAGTTTACTTTGTCTTCTTGAGCTGCCTTTTGAAATTTTCCGTTCAGCTCTTTTACTTCATCATTTCTTCTGTTCACTTTAGAGACTCTACATTCAAGAGTAAGTTTCAGAGTCTGTTTTGACATCCATTTTGGTCTTTTTTTTCTTTTCTGTCTTTTAATGACCTTTTGCTTTCTTCACGTATGATGTCCTTGATGTCATCCCACAACTGGTCTGATCTTCGGTCACTAGTGTTCAATGCGTCAAATCTGTTCTTGAGATGGTCTCTAAATTCAGGTGGGAAATACTCAAGGTCTTACTTTGACTCTCGGCGACTTGTTTTAATTTTCATCAGCTTCAACTTGAACGTGCATGTGAGCAACTGATGGTCTGTTCTGTAGTCGGCCCCTGGTCTTGTTCTGAATGATGATATTGAGCTTCTCCATCATCTCTTTCCACAGATCCAGGCAATTGGATTTCTGTGTAATTCATCTCGCAAGTCCCACATGTAAAGTTGCTGTTTATGTTGTTGAAAGAAAGAAATTTGCAATGAATAAGTCATTGGTCTTGCAAAATTTTAAAAATATAGTGTGTATCAAATCAACAATTAGCCTTTAGCTGATAGCTC